TTACTAAATTTGTATAATCGATCTTACGATGTAGATCTTAAGAAAATCAGCCAATCACACGAATGTCCCCCTATGAGATTGTGACAAATTTAGAAATTTTTTTAGACTTTTTCTAACTTGTTCTTTTTTTGTGCTGGGCTAAAATTATTTTTTTTAATATATTATAGTTCGGCATTCTTAACTCCAGTTGGTTCTATTACTAATTCGTCATAATATCCTTATATTAAATTTTGGCATACGGTGATTTTCAAGGATGATACCTCGATACCCTGAGATTGAAATAATATGAAAATACCGCCATTCGATTCGACTAGACATGACGAATCGAATGGTGGTATTTTCACGTGATTCTATTGCAGGGTATCGAGATATTGCCCTTTAAATTGGCGAAAATCTGACGTATGATGACTTTCAGTGCGATATCTCGATAATTAGCGCTTGGGATCGCATCAAAATACCACCATTCGATTCGTCATGTCTAGACGAATCGAATGGTGGCATTTTGATGCGATCCCAAGCGCTAGTTATCGAGATTTCGTTACTTCGTCATAATAACCTTTTCGTCAAAATACCCCACTTTCCCTTATGATATAAACTTTGATTTATCTGGCAGTTCATGTGATCGACTTTTAGTCAACTTAAGTCGACTTTGACCCCTGAGTCGGTAAAAGTTGAGTCGTTAGCATTCCACTCAAATCAACAATTGTACCTTTTTTGAATTGGAAAAATACTTGGTACATAAAAATATCGTGAAAATAAACTCAATAATAATTATTATTATAGATCTACCCCCATTAACTTCTTGTAGTCATTTCTGCACGCGTGAATATCTTCCAAGCATCGAGATACATTAACGAATTCACTCTTGTATTTTATGTTGCAACAGTCGCATCTTACATCATAATCATTTGTGCGCATGATTTGTACATAAATATCTCTAAAGTTATTCAATGTTTAGTGTCAAATTATTAGCTCAGCATATAGAAAACTAAAACAGATATTTAAACCTACGGTGGGATTTGATCGATTTTGTTACATAGTGGACATTTAAAAGTCAAACGGAGAATCATCGTTTTGTTCAAGAAACCAAGGCTCCTTTGTGTATTCATGTCAAATTTGTTGTGAATATTCGCCAAGATGTCCTGAATTTGTTCCCAGATCTCATGCTACAAATAAAAATTTTCAAAAATCCACTATATCGATATCTAGTAATTATACTAGTCTCCACTATAAAGGAGTTCCACTATAAAGAGCGTGACTGGGTAATTCAGCTTTGAAAATTTAATTCCTAATCGAATATTCGAATGTAAACACAACTCGAGAGTACTAAATAAATACTTGCCAATTGAGCTAACGGAAAATTATGATCGTGTTTTTGAGGATCGTGAAGACGTAGCATATCTTCATAATAGCGTAGTGGCGAAAGACAATGAGCGTGCCATATTAAGCAAACATCTTTTATTATTTCGTAGAAAATGTAAACTGATTAAAAAAAGAACGAGATTTATAAAATAAATTATTATTCGTATACAACTCGCATTACCAAGTGGAGGAATAGGCATTTTTTCTTCAGGAAATGATTAAAATTCAACAAGTTTTTCCATGCAATATATCGTTGTTCAGCTCGCAATAAATAACGGTCTTCCATCTCTTCATCAGATTGTTCTAATTCTTTGAATTTCATTAGCAAGGCTAAATGCGCATCTAGCATGTCGGGATTTACCACCCCATCAATATTTAGAGGAAATTGCTGTTGTTGTTTACTATCATCGTTGTATGAAGGAGGTCTTTCTTCGAGTTCAATGATAACAAACGACCCATCTAACGTCTTTGAAGACGTCATGCTTATTTTGCTAGAGAAAGTAATTTCATTTATGTTTACGTTAGCATTACTCAATTGGTCGCTCATTCCAATTTGTATCATTGAACTCGTGAGAATGAGAAGCTTTACTGTGCGGGAAAAACGACAATTATCGTTCAAATAATATTATTTATCGCTGAAAATAAAGTAAATAATGTATGGTAGTAACAAATATTTAGCTGCAAGAAATCATTAAAATTTATGTTATGTATTTTCCCTTAATTAAACTCTCGTTTAACATATAAAAAAATAAATTGTATTTAATAAGTAGTCGCTGTGATGATGTCTGGGTATTTATAATCTCGTATGTGATTTAATATTCGATTCGATAGCAGGAAAAAAGCAATGATTTGACTTTTGTCAGATATTTCTTGAATAGGTTGGTGTGACTTGGGAAAAATTCTCCAATTTGCTTAATCTGTTCTGTATTAAGAATCTCGTGCAGACAGTACCTCATTATCGTTATAATTAAATTCATTCATTTATTGTTTTTGTAATGATAAATACAAGATTTAATCCGCGAATATAATATTCACGGATTAAATCTTGTATTTGTGTCTTAGATAAGAAGTTGATTCAAGAAGTTTAGATGGTATGATAAATTTTATCTAATATTCCCTAACTGGCACTATAAAAGAAATATAGCATAACTATTGTAATATCATATACATATAGGATCTCTTCATAAACTAAAGTCTTTTCGTCGTAACTCGGAAACGAAATAAAATATCTAACGGGAAAATTCACGGCCTAGTGTCGAAAGAGCTATTGGTTGAGGAATTAGACCGTCGGACGCAAACAAGTGGTAGAATAGGACCGAATAAATTACCGGTTGCCCTCGCGTAATTAGGAATTGTATTTATTGAAAATCCGAATTTAAGTGGTTGGCGTTGTTGTTGAAGTAAAGCAGCCACAGTAATAGTAGTTGTTGATAATAATTCTGTAATAGCAAGTTTATCAGACACTTTGTCCGAAATAAAATTCGTTGATAGTTTATGATTTTGCGTTATTCTACACGATTTTTTAGGTACTTGTTTTTCCTCGTCGGAAGAATAATTATATTTCTAGACTTTTCTAGAAGTCGTTACTATCTGAGCAGATCGTGCAACTGAAGATGATTTATCGAAAGAATAGTTGTTGTTTTTACCAAAGAACCACATCTACAAATAATGTATTTTTTGCTTTCTTGATCATAGTTCTTCTTGAATTGATGTTTACAGGCTGCTCATTGCTCATTGCCTTAGTTAATTCATCGTTAAACCCAGCTATGTCTCTGGTTCTCTTGCCGCTATTTTCTACTATTGGTGAGCCATTTGCACTTTGATTAATTTTTCTTTCCAGATCCATTGCATCAAAAAAAAAATCGCTTATTGAGTTGACCAAATGGCCATTGCTTATGAATCGGAGTAAGTTCTGGCATTTGGGAGTCTACTAAATCTCTGGCTGATGGCAAAAATGAGTGCTGCGGTTTTCCAGATGGAACCATTACATTTGGTGAATGGGGTTAGGGGTTATTAGCCAATCAGATTCAAGAGTACATACAGTTCGAATCAAATTTCAAGATATCGTTAAATACTAAATCAAAGACATCGCTAAATTGAGCGCGATTTTAATATAGTGACCTTGGAACAAGAGTCGTTAACTCGCGATTTCATAGTCGTTAAATTGAGCTCTGACCATAAAAAATAAATTCTAAATATGTAATATTGATCTACATTATGATAATGCTGACCAGAATTACATATATAGTCTATAAATATAAACTTGTCCACCATACACGTGAAATTCTAATTTTTAGAATTCAATTTCCAAATTTCATACTTCAATGGAATACATACGTACGAATAAAAATTATTAGTAAAGTCTACCTGCACGAAAGATACAAGTGATTGCGAATATGGATTAAATAAAGATACGAACCATGTATCTGTTTAAGAGGATTCATTTTCTTTAAAAACCTCCGGGGTTGTTAAAATATCACACGACCAAAAATACTGCAATTCTATTGGTTATATATGATGCATACGTAATATTTATACTAGATCTTGTAAAAATGGGCCAAACAGAAAATCGGTCTAGTTTCTTATCTTGATTTTCTGTCTCTTCTTTTAACGGTTCGAAAAATACTTCCTCTTCAATTTCAGTTCTCGGATTTTCTTTCTTTTCGAAGGTTTTGTTGTGACAATGCAGTTGTTTCTGCGTATCGTTATTCTTTTTGTAATTCTTTTCGATTATTTTTATTTTGATGACCTGGATAATTACTACCAGAACGACGAAGATGCCGAGGACGAAGATTGAATAACCTGAAGAATAAAACGATAAAAAAAAAACATTTCACATATACCCAACAAAAAATACTCTAAACAAAAATCTCTCTAACATGACACTTCCGGTTTTGTGGCATTAGATGTAGATATGGATCTTTTCTTTTCGTTCCTTTTCCATTTCGTGCATAGATTTGTAATCTTCATCTCCACCAACCGCCGACATTATCCTTTCAGTGTCAAAATGCAAACTTATTATATCAATTAAAGATATGAACACGTTTTATTTTTTGTTGTTTCTTTTAGTTGATTTAATCTTTAACCTTTCTGAATTTCCTATGCCAAATCTGGTCTACATACTAAGAAAAAAACTTGTAAGACAAACTTTATAATTTCCTTGTACTCGAGAATACACGATATCGAATATTTTGTTAGAACTCTTGTTATTAGAAACAGAAGTCGAAGCTTAGCTCTTGATATAAAATACCGTGATAGTTAAGTAGCAAGCATTGAATATTTTTATGAGAAATTTGTAACATTTTTCTTTATTCATAAAGAAATATTTTCAATTACTTTTATTTTTGTCCCGAATGCAGGAAAGAATCTTAATCTGTTGAAATTTAAATTTTTACATTCTTTAACAAATATTGGGAAGCAAAGTGATTATGATTAACAGTTTTACTATATGATTTATAATCACAAGCAAGTACTCCACTTGTTGTAAATTTAGTGCATGTTTTATTAAAATGCAATTATATTTCTAAAAAAGTCGATTCTGGAAATTTGAAAAATCCAGTTATTTCTGATTTTAAAATCGGAAATAAACCAATATTAAAATTGGAAATAAACCGTATCTTTTGTTTTTTGGATTTTAAAATTTGAAATAAATCATATTTGTTTTATTTGTCAATTACAATATCAAAAATCAGGATTTAAAAAATATATTATGTTAAATTCTGATTTATTTTTGATCTTGTAATTAGAAATAAATAAAAATGTTTTCACTGATTTTGAGACGGAATAATTTAATCAATATTCATTTGATTTTTAATTTCATTTACCTCAACAAGCCAAAGCAAATAATGGTATTTTGTTGAAATATGATTAAAATAATTTAATTCCAATTCCTTTGAAAATTTTATTTGGATTTGGTTTAAAAAAAAATCAAATCAATGTTATAGAATTATTTGACTATTAAAATAAATAAATCTATAGACTAATATAATAAAAAATATAAACTAGATAATTTATATAACCAAAAAAATAAAAAGGTCAATTTTCAAAATTTGCAAATTAATTAATAAATAAAAGTTAACACAAAAAATTAAATAAATAATCAAACAAAAAAATTAAATAAGTATTCTAACTATATTTTAAAAATATTTTAAAAAATAAATGGAAATTATTTATTATTGTTTAAATATTCTGTAATTTTAATAATACTTTTAAAAAATTTCCAATAACTAATTCACTTTTTTTTGAATATCTTCACAAAAATTGATCGAAAATCTCAGAAAAATAAAAAACTATTTCTTGAGCAAGTCTTTTTATTATATAAGTATTAATACAATTTGTTAATTATTTTAAATTTATATATCGTATATTTTTAATTTTTTTATCTTTCTATTTACTTTTTTCGCACAATGCTAGTGAATAAACCAATAGATCTGAAAATTTAAGATCAAAAATAAAATTATTAGAATTTCTATTTCAATTACAAGTAATTTCTGGAGAGCGTTCAGTTAGTAAATTTTAATATTCTGTACTCTGTTAAAAAAAACCCTAATTTGTTTTTGAAGGAACCGCGAAAAATTTTAGTTTAAAAAACAAAAACTGAGATCGCGAATGTAAATTTTATTTTTATTTTTATAATCGTATAGGACAGAGACATGGGACAGTCACGCAGCATTGTTTATCCGAGACCTTGATGTCCGCGTCTAAATTCCGGCCAAGGGATTTAGCGTTGAGATTGACTTGTCCTACGAACACAGACACAAACGTGGACTTTCAGACAACGTCCGTGTACAACCCCCTGTAAAAAATTTACCAATTAATTTAACCTCAAAGCCATTCCCTTAGTAATAAGAAGATTTGAAGAAATTGCTGAACTATTCATTGGCAGAAAAACTAAATTTAATTTTCTACAGGGGAAATATATTAACACCCACACCTGATATAATCCTTTAATTCTGCCAAAATTGGAACCTGAAATTTTAGCTGACACCTGATTTTTGGAGCCCTCTTGTACGACAATGATATTTTTGGTAATTAGTAAAAATACGATGCTAGCGACAAAATAGACAATAGCGATATAAATTAAAAAAAAAAGGGGGGGGGATTTTGGCGAATGGGGTATTGTGGTGTTTTTAATATTGTAAGAAATTACAATATAAATATATACGAGTATTATTACCATATTTTATCTTTTTTTATTTGTGTCTTAAGCATGTTTTACCTTATGTTTTAATACAGAAAAAGATAATTATCATTACCGTAAACTGCTGTGAATAAGCACCACTTTTTGGTTCTAGAAAACTGGGTGGTACTCGTTTCTGGACATTTCCTCGCAATTTAAAATTATCGTCATTTAAAAAGATTTTATATTTTTGTAATTTAAATTAGTAGTGCTTATTCGCTGTTCATTGTTTTGCTATTTTGGGGATTGAAATAGGGTGATGCTTATTCCGGTATTTCTGGTATCACACTCGTAATTGAATAAGTACATTTGGGAAGTAACAGGAGATACAAAGGAATCTCTCTAAGTGCACCCCTATAAATATACACCCTCCCTAAATGCACGCTATGGCTCAGTCCCAAATTTAATCATTTACTCTTTCTATAAATGCTAACGCTAAATGCACACCCCGTCTTTGTTTAATATGGTCCCAAGGGAGAGAAGGTTATCTGTGCTTGTGTATCAGTGCTAATAAATAATGAATATCTATTCTAATTCAGATGAAACAGATGAACAATCAATAAAAATTCATAGGATCGAAAATGTGTTCACTTCCATTCTGTACAAATTTACGCAAGACGCGTAACCAGCTTTTATGGTGTATGTATTCTATCATAATTAACAACTACGTAGAATGAATTTTTACAATTGTGTTCCGCGAAATTTTTTTAATATAGGTGCTACATTACATAAAACGGCTAGTTTTGGTTGTTCCGATTATTTGTTTGTCTTTTGAAGTGAGAAAAGAGAATCGAATTTCTTAAATATTAATTTGGCACTTATTATTGAAGAGGGTGTTGATAATGTTGGTGACTCCATAACAGCATATAGATATATACTACATGAAATACTGCAATTCAAAGTCCCAAAAATAAAAATCCCATTCTTAATTCCTTGTGTATGTCCTTCCATAACCCATCAATCACCACTACCCTCTTATCCTGATTACTCCGATTAATAATCCTGATTACTACAACTAACCAATCAGTAATCGATTTCCCGCCACCGAAGATCTACCACTCAACGCCGTCGACAATGCCGCGGTAGTAAGCATAGTCGTAGTGCTAGCTTGCCACTCAAGTTGCATTATCGTCTGCTGCATAACCACTTTCCAAATCTCATTGACTAGACCCCCGCGTAACACCACCATTATAATCAGCCAGTACACAGCTTTAGATGCTCGCCGTTTAAGAAACTTTCGGAACATTTTAGTGAAATAGTATTTGAATGTTTGTCGTAGTCGAAGTAGATTGTGATATGAAAAGAGTAAAGATGATGATGATCCATGCACGAGTTTTCGGTCATCTTTGGTGTTATTAGTATTGTTTGTTTCTTTATGACTGATGTCATCGTGTTTTGAAACTTGATGAAGATTATCTTCGAATAAATTATCGATATTTTGGTCATCAATCTCGTTTGGAGATGAGTCCTGAGAGGATTGGTCATCTGATGCGGAAGAAGATGATGTGTTGTCCTCGATTATCGAAGTGAAGTTTAGTGCTGATAGAATAGGAGATGTAAGATGTATGTGTGGAGATGATAGTAGCTTTATGGGTTGTGGAGAAAGGATTGTCGGTGTTGATGTTGATTTGCTTATATTATTATCTATATTATTGGAAACAGAAGTCAATGTAGAGAAAGACCGTCCAGGATTAGTAGTCGACGACGGTGTCATCTTCAACCACGACGGAATAGTAACCGGCGAAGGTGGTCGACTACTGAACGGTGTTGTACGACTATTGAACCGTGGTGTGCCTGGTCGACTCTGATACGGCGTCGATGGCGCCGAATAAAACATCTCATGTAACGATTCGACCGAAGGCGCTCGACTGAATGGTGCTGGCATTTTCAGTATTGGTTGTGGCCGTGCGTATTTCTGAAATACGTGGCATGTGTCAAGGTCATATACGTACTCGTCGTCTCCGCCATGTTCTTTATTTGTAAAAAATTAATTAATACTGTTAATAATCATTTTTTTTAAAAAAGATATGTTTCAAGTAATCTATACTCAACAATTTGTTTCAATTTTAAAATCTTTAAACTCAATGTAGAGACATAATTTTCAAAATTTGACCGGTAACTTTGTTCTTTATGATAAGCTCTATAAAGTTACTGGTCAAATTTTGAAAATTTTGTCTCTACATTGAGTTGAAAGATTTTAAAAATTGAAACAAATCGTTGAGTATAGATTACTTGAATCATATAAAGATCGATTCGATTAAAGCTACACAATTAGAAGAAATACTATTCAATGGACATTCAGAACTTCACTTGGGACACTTCGTATTGCAACCCCTTACCACTGAATATCAAGTAAATAAGATTTGCCACAAATGTACAAAGCCATAATAATAATAATAAAAAATACCCTCAATCCATAATCCCAATACTCACCTATTAACACGTTCTCCTTATCAATATATTGATATAACTCTTGGTATTTGCTCAAGAAAATGATACGACCTAACGATTCTCCGGGTAGTACACGTTTGGCGATTTGCCACACGCCAGAGTACATCCATCCGTAGTTCAGAACGTATGCTGATATCATCAACCAATTGTTATTATTATTATTACTACGATTGTAATTAAACTATAGACGATAATTATAATAATGAGTACTTACTGACAGCAATTGAGCTAGGGTAGTGATGTCGAGCAATATCCATCATAAACTGTCCTAATTCAATGTTCTATATAGACGATTAAATTTAAAATATGATTAGGTATATATGATTAGGTATATATTATATCTAATATCTGTCAACAGAGAGTCATCCCCGGGGTAAACAATTTTCTCCAGAAGATAATCCATTTTTATATATATATATAAATTGCAATAAGTTATCTAATCTGATTCGATCATCAAAGATCAAAATAAAAAATAGTATTTACCAAATTACTAACACCAGCTCCCTTCAGATCCAACAACACCGAATACTGCAGCACGGGAAACTCTTTTGCCTGTTTCGTCATATCCCACATCAACTTCCTCGCGACCTCTGCGCAAAAAATAAAGTAACGTTTTGTTTCTTCAGCTGTTGGCGGTAAGTCCTCATCCTCGTCGGTATCATTATTACTATTGTTATTATGTGCAGGTTGTGATGATTTTGTGAATTCTCGCAAGTTCAGCACAGCGTAAGGTCGCCCAAATTTATCCGTTTTGTCGTGGAAAAAAAAGAGCCCGTTCCGCAGGTAGTATGGATGAATATCGGCAAGCATGAAACTGTCGATATTGTTTTCAATGCGCCAGCGAATGTTGGCAATTAGTGAGTTTAGGGCAGAGTCGAAATCGAAGGATGATTTTCGAAGGAAGCGAAAGAGTGTCGCTGTTTTTTTTTTTTGGTTTTATTATTAATGACTCAAACTTCACTTATTTTTAATCTATAATCATGAAAATAAATTACCTTTATCCCCACAGTATTGCCTAACACGCTCAACTTGTATAAAGTCCAAATCAAATTCTTTTTGAATGTCCGGCACATGTTCCACCACTAGTGCACGATGCAGGTCCTCGACCGTGGACTCGTGTTGTTTGTAAAGAGTGCATAACCTCTTGAAATTTGTTTCGAGTAAATGGGTCATATGCTATAATTTTATTTGTGTCAGCGTTTGAATTTTTATTTATACAGTGAAAGTTGTATTTAGAACGAATATATTGGAAAAAAGTATGTATAGAAAAGAAATGAATGATTGATTCGATGAAGATAAATTGAGCCTTAATTGTTTGACCTTTTTTTGAAAATAATAATGAACGATCTCAATACAAAGACAAAAGATGATGATGGGCTTTTTCCTCGAATGCCAGTATTTATCTGTGTGTAATATTGATTATATCAGTGTGCATTTATATTGTTATTTTAAATATTATAAATTGATGATTACGTAAGGTAGCAAAGTGGCACATATTCTTATTCCTTCATCTTGTTGATTTATTAGCAAGAAACCGTCTCCACATGACATATACGCCTCGTTTATTCATTACATATATCAGTATATGAAAAGCTTTTAAACGTCTTAATTTCTATTCTTTTCCCTTTGACATCATCACTTAATCCTAACTAAAAAAAAATAATAGCCTGTTTGCCATTAATATTAATATATTTTTTATAATAACAGATAATGCACAAATTATCTATTATCCCTTGTGCGTGTGCGATGATGATATTAATTATTGCATAATGTTTCGTTCACTTTCAGATGTTATTTATTGTTTTCAGTCAGCTGACCCTTCATTTCATTTAGACTTTTTTGATGTTGTACAACGTATACAGTATGTAGGCCCAAAGATAACAGGTTTTGAAGTAATAGAAACTTTTCTTTTTAGGAAACTAACAAATGGACACGACATACATGCATGTACAGAAAGACAAGAGATATCATATCATCATCTAAAACCTTATCAGTCAAAATAAAATCTTGCAATGAAGCATATTCAAAGTGAACATCTTACAAGGCTTTGTGAGTTGCTGATGCAGGGTTCAAGTCGACATTGTATTACAGTATTTGTCCAGATAACGTGATCGATAACGTTTGATCGCCGCGTGACTTGTTTGTATGCACATTCCACGAGCTTGCTTGTTCAAGAACTAATTATTTAAATAGTGTTGAAACAAAGTGAAATTTTCGGACTTTCATTATTACACATAATCCGGAATCAAGTATTATCACATGTATTCTCGACGATTGAACCCTCACATTTACAATTTTCTCTACATATGATTTTGTAAATGAAAGAATAATTTTAACGGTGAAGAATAAAAATTCGGAAGGATTACCGGAGACAAACTGCGATATCAACAATTAAAATAGAAAAAGAAAATCAAAGATTTAGAGAATGATTACGAAACTGAACAGCAAGCAATTAGCAATCGATACTGCTAATCTGAAGAACAAAATAAGAAATAAACCCGAATTATTCAATTATTCAGAAACTACAAAGCCAAGTTGAGAATTTGGAAAAGCAAAGACCTGAATTAAAAGGTTAACCAAAAAAGTTTGCATATAAGCTCGAGCTCGAAAATTAGAAAATCTATCACGTTAGTTTGTTTTTCCTTTTTAACTTTTTTTAGACACTGGAGAAAAAAATGTCTCATGTGATGTTTCTATGGAAAGCATATGATTTTTGATATGTTGTGTGACGACACGTTGACAGATTTAATCTGGGGTTAGGGTTAGTTTAAAAAAACTAGTTTGTACTACGTTCTTAAAAACTGAGATAATGTATGAATGCACATGCATGATGTGATGTACGATGACATCTAACAACAATCTGATCAAAACTTGTATAGTTGATTCTGTTCTTGTGAGGTGAATGGTGACGCACACATTCATTCAATGTTTGATTCAATTTTATTATCGAATCGAAAAAGATAATTTAGTTTTATAGAAATGCGACGGAGCTTTTAAAAATTAATGTTATCATGTTGTGTAAACTTTCCTGTGTCAATTACTATTATCCTCCTGGATATCAGGATCAGTAAAAATGTACGGAAGCACAACAATAGCTTGCTTGTGATTCTTCTTTTTCAATTCTTTTAATACTAATTTGAAGCTTTGAGAAATACGATTAAAGTATATACAATAATTTAAAATAGTAATAATTACACTCAAGTTCTGATCCTATATTCAGTTTCATCATAGCCTCTGAAAACTTGATTGATCAACCGGAAGATTTCTTCTTGAAGATCATCCTCTTCCTCCTCGTCGTCCGTAATTTCTTTTTATATCCTTGTATACCCTGTCTTCTGAAATGAAAAGGCGTTGAATCGGGCCATCTGAAATTGATTCCCATACGTTCTGTAAAGACATTAGTTAAGAAACCAAAACTAATGTGCAAATCTGTTAATCAGAACAAGTTGTACCTAGAAACCTTTCTGCTTTCTCTCAAGGGGTGTCCAAAATGCGCGCCTGAAATGTGTGCCAGTTTAATAAACATCATAAACAAATAAGAATACGCAAATTTTTGATCAGCGACACAAAGAAAATGAAAAGCGAAAAATACGGAAAATGTCAAATCTAACTTGGAATACTAATAAAAAATGTCGGAGAGGCAATTTTACATGTAATATTACTCTTCCTAACCCTAACTCCAACTCTATAACCAACCTTTGGGTGCTTACGACTGCGCCACCGACATGCTCCAAAATATTGTGGACACATTTTAAAATTAAATAGAAATTTATATATCTAAAAATTTATATAAATATATGAATTCTGAATATTTTTGATTTAAAAGAACCAAGAAAACACAGAAATTCATGTAAGTAGTTCTTGAGAAATATTTAATTTTATGAAATTATATTTTTTTTGGATCAAACCAAAAATGCTTTTTATTTCAAAAATCTTCGGTTCGGTTTGATCAAAAAATATAATTTTATAAATAACCATTTCTCAAGAACTACTGCATGTTTTTAAGTTACAAAGAGCTCAAGAATTCAGAAATATTATATATTTATATAAATTTTTAGATAGATAAATTTCTATTTAATTTAAAATGTGTCCACGATATTTTGGACCCCTCTGTAGATAGATTAATTAAGCATTTCGGGTGTTGCGTGGTCTGTGGATTGGACCTTGAGCCTGTTGTGGTTTAATTCATATATATTCAATATTAACAACTCCAATCCTTTTTTTTCGTTCTGAGGACATCAAGATTACAAAAAAATTTAAAGGCTATATATATAACATCTTTTCTCGATCAGATGAAGTCACCACGTGAAATTCGATTTCGATTTAGGGAAATGCGCGATAAAACGAAAATCGATAAAGGGGTCGGTCGACCGTATATTTGACATGTAATCCAGTATTTCGCATTAAGCTAGACAGTGCGATTATTCCCTTACGAAGGAAGGGGAGCAGTGCAAATAGAGCAATTTTTCGTGCTTCAACCATATAATGCATCATATACACTATACCACCCACCCACGCGTGATATTCCCATTAATTAATCCACCGATTTTAAACTTGAGAATTCTCATAGAACCTTCAATCCGACAATGGATAATAATAATAATAGACCAGTTTCTTTATGTTTTTATTGAGTAGCGAGTGTGTAACTAAATAACGAGACCAATGATAATACAATTCATCGAGCTACATTGTGTAATCAAATATTAAACACCTTATTAAATTCGACAACTTCCATAACATATTGTTTTTTTGAGCCACCATTTGGTATATTCGACCTAATGTTGGAACATGCCGTTGCAAATATGTATCTTGTAAGACATTGATAATAAATTGGATTCTTTGTAATGCTCCAACGCTACCAGTTTTTACAACGAAAAAAAGAGATTCGACACGGAGAAATCTTGAGCAGGGAATGAGTGGACACCCTGGAAGTTACGAATAACTGGTCAAAAAATGAAATTAGAAGAGTCTTCAAAAAGATAACATAATGCTTCAATCATTTTCAAACATACTATTGAGCATTGCAATCTTCTGGATTCCTCTTTGCTGAAGACCGGTTTCATTCCACTCAATAACGAGTAGAGGATCATCAACATAAAGAACGTCGCTCTTGTGTTTAGCTCGAACATTGCGTTCCCACTCGAGGACCAACTGTTCAATCTCTTTACCGAAGTTTTTCATAAAGGTGTCTGTTATAATATTTTATGTAGTTTAGTAATCTTAAGAATAATTGGTACAGAAACAAAAAGGGTGAAAAACAAAACGTGAGAACGATGATAGGAGAGGCAGGTAAAAGGCAAAGAATGAAAAAGCCAGTGAGAATGGTTTCCATATTTTTGATTTAATGTTTTATGGTATGAAACTATAATGATAGATATAGTATAATTTAATTGCTTAAATCATGATGGTTATAATTATGAATCAGAATGCAAAAAAGACTCAAAAATGTGTTAATAGGCCTGGATACTATCGAGAAGAAAATGCTGATTATCGCTATGGTTGTTGTGATGAATCAAAAGGTATATAATAGACAACATCCAGTTGACTCTATAATAAAATTCGTTATAGTAAAGACCAATTAAATTCTCGCTATAGTAGATTTGCGTTCAAAACCATAACGAGAATAATAAATTTACTAATAAATCTCGATATATAATCAATTTTTCAATGGAAGCACTTGGAAGATTATTGGAAGGGTCATTGGAAGACCATTGGATGCAAAATTAATATCAAATTGAACTTTTCAAAAGCCCATTGAAAGCAAAAATTGACAACGCTGCACAGTTTAAACCATTCGATAAACATGCCAATAAATTTCGTTCATATTAGGGAGTGACATATATTACGTAATATTGAGTTATTATAGAGATAACCCCCCTCCCTTCCCCTCCCCCAGATGAGATTTTTGAGACTCTCCTCCCCTGCTAATTACGTAATATATGTCACTCCCCTTACTGTAAAAAATAATTTTTTTGGAACTGGAACAAATATTAAAATAAAGATAAGAATTCCTATTTTTTCAGATTTAATTTGAAAAAATTTTTCTAATTACAAAGTTAATCAAAAAAAGATTTCTAATAGTAATTTTTTTATGAGTGTAATTATAACAGGATTTTATTATAGCTGGTTCTTTCTAAATTATCCTAAAGAGACAAAATTATAATCTAAACTAGTTTTGTAAAAAAAATAATTAGACAAAAATCTGATTTGTTAGTTTTAAAAAATTACAAAATTAGTTATAAAATTTCTGAATTAAAAATAAAAAATGAAAGATATAATATTTCATAATTTACAAATTTAATTCAGACAAAAAATATACTATAAATTTATCTAATCTTGACAAATTAAATAATATATTTTTATTTAGGTTAAATTTATAAATTATAAAATATTATATCTCAAAGTTATTGAATTAATTTTTTTAATTTTTCTGCTCAAAATTAAAAAAATATATTATTTTTAAATAAATTATCATTAAATTTATTTAGTTTTGATGAATTTATTAATAGTAATTTTTACAAAAATGATCTGGTAATTCTTAAAATATTATATTTCAAAATTGCTAAATTAGTTTTAATTTTTAAAAAAAAACTTATTTTAATTTTGAATATTTAATTTAAAGCATAATATTTTATTAAATTTAGTATTATTTTATTAAATCTCAATAAATATATGATTTTATTTTTATTCAATTTGGTTTAACAAATTATAAAATATTAATTTATTTTAAAAAAAATTAAAAATTTATTTAGTAATTTTGAAAATAATAGTTTATAATTTATGAATAATAATATTAATATTTGATTTATTTAGTTTTAATAAATTAAATAATATATTTTTTGTCTGAATTAAATTAACAAATTGTAAAATATTCTATTTCAAAATTATTAAATATAATCGAATTTTTTATAATTATATTTGTTTATAATTATATTTGTTTATAATTATATTTTTTATTTTAGTTTGCTTTTTTATTTATATTTAAAGTTATATTTTTTTATAATTATTCAATATTGCAAATTTTTATTTTAAAATATTTTTATATTAAATTAGTAATTAATAATTATATTTAATTATTTAATAAATTAATAATTAAATTAAATAATTTAATTAAATTCAAATTAATTTAATTAAATTATTAATAATAAAAATTATAACTAGTTATAACTTATTATAATTTTTTAATTAGTTATTATAACTAATTATAATTTTATTATAATTTTTTAATTAATTATTATAATTATAATAAATTATTAATTTAATTAATTGGTAATTTAATCAAATTAGTAATTTAAATTAATAATTTAATATTAAGTTAATTAAAAAAAATGTTATTAATTATACAAAATTTTATCAAAAAAATAAAGAGCAAATTAAAATAATATTATTAGTAATCTTATTTAATAATATTTTTATACATATCTCTATACTATATTACTGAAAATTGAAAAAATATAGTAAAATTGACATTATTATTTTATATTAAAATTTATTATTTTATTAATAAATATTTTTTATTTTTATACTAAAATAAAAATGATAATCTATATTTTTAATATATATTCTAGAAAAATATATATTAAAAATATAGAATATCATTTTTATTTTAATATAAAAATAAAAAAAATATTTATTAATAAAATAATAAATTTTAATATAAAGCAATAATGTCAATTTTACTATTTTTTTCAATTTCTGGTAATATAATATAGAAGTGTATATATAATTTGATATTCAAGTTTATATTAATATAAAAAAAATATTAGATATCTTAATTTTTTTAAAATATAATAATCTATTCAGAGATATTCTATAGATTTATTTTTTATGTAATTATTTATAAAGATTAATATTTTTTTTGTTATAATTATATACAATAACAATCAGAAATAATGCAATTTATCAATTAAATATAGTAAAATATAAGTTTTTCTCTTTATATAAAAGTTTTTAATTTTACTAATAAATATTTTTTATTTTTATATTAAAATAAAGATAATA